AAATAGAAAAAGGCTCCAGCTAGAACTTTACCATCTTCAGAACTAGATGATAGAGTAGTCGAATGTTAGCTGATGTGGCATGGATTAATATATGCTAAGCATTTTGAAAAAAAAAGAATGATTCCCCAGAAAGCTTAAAATTTGGCCGATCATTCCTACGGCAGCTATACGATATAGTGTTCCAATAAATTAATACTACCTTCAATTAAGGGGGATCCATGCAAAGTTTTTTGCCGTTGGCCTTAAAATTGATAAGAAAAACTTGCATAGAAACAGCTGGCAATTAGACGGATTGTGACTAATTGGCGTAGGGCTTTTGATTGTAATCAAGAATATATTACAAGGTCCATCAATTCGTTAAATGACAAAAAGCTGAGAATCACAATTCACTTAAGATAAGGATCGGTTGCCTTTTACGATAGACTTTCATTCATTAAAAATAATCGATAACATATCTTGGAGATTATATTCAGATTAGATTGGGTTTGCTTGAGGTCAGTTACCAATTTTGTAGCATTATTTTATGTTTTTTGTTACACCCAAAAACCAGGCTCATGTCTGATGAAGCGCCAGCGTTGAGATTCAGGTTTTTCTTACAATTGCCGCACTTGTCACCAGCTGGGGCTGTAGCGAGGCAATATTTTTGTGCTACGCTTTTTATTTGCCGCTTGCCTCCGCTGCTTTTATTGTTATGTGCGCTGCGTAAAACAAGTGGAAGCTTTGTTTGACAACAACAACAACAACAACAGTAGGAAAAATAACAAAGGCAACTACAGCTACAACAATCATATTAACAACAATAACAACATTAGCAGCAACTGGTAAAAACGTTAAGTTTACTTGACTTCCAACCGCCGACAGCTTCACCTGACGACTTGGTCTCCTTCTTCTGTTGTGGGCTTGACATTTGACAATAAAGCAAATAATCATGGGAAAAAGCTGAGCTCCCAACTCGCTTTAAACACTTGTTTCCATGTGCCTTTGTCTGCCTGTGTTTGGGTTTGTGTTTGTGTTTGTCTTAGCCAAATGTGTTATCGTTTTCGTTTACTACCCGTTTAACAAACCTTCCTTAACCTGCTACGTCAGCCAGCTGCCTTAAATCTAATCTCGCTGGTCAATATCGGCCACGTACGTTTGAAATTTTTGCACACAAAATTATCACCTTGGCGTACTTTGATTATCGTATTACTATAGAATATATAATTACGATGTCAATTAATTATGTTGAGTAAACTATTATAGCTAGATCTTTTATCCAAGTTTGTGTGACATGTCAGCCAAATGATAGCTATAAGAATATTTTCAAGCCGTTGAGGAAAAAAAAACCTAAAAGAATTAAACCAACGAAGAAAATACTATGGATTCAAAAAGATTTATCTTCATGTAGATAATTTTCTGTTTGGGCTTGATGAACTGATCTAAGTATATTAAATAGGACAGGGAATCTAAAATTAAGAACAATCAATCAAATTTGTCATCGGCTAATCCTCTTATCGCCTACTTAGATAATTTTCCGTTTCAACATGAATGGATCTAAATTAAATAAGATAGGCAATCGGCAACAACCAATCAAATTCGTTTTCTTATCATTTTCGCGATATGCCAGACAGACTTGGCTCGAATAAAAAGCTGCCATTCGCGCGAAGAACTTCAATTGCGAAAGCGAAGCCAATTCAAAGAGTTGTGATTCTAAATAAGTGAAATTGAGTCCTAAAAGTTAAAAAGTATTTTTACCCGTTTTAGGAATTTTGATTATACTGATTACTTATTACTCAATTTGCTGAGAGTAAGCGACATTTCGATTGTTTCAAGGTACTTCATACTGTTTATTTCCTTAAAAATCCTTTAGCTTTTCTTAATATAAAAAGATATATCTTATTTTGAAAGAACAATTATCTGTTAAAATTGTGAAAACTTTGACGAGCTTTTAGTTAAATTAAATAGGTTGATTTCTAAAGTTTGCTGGCTGCCAATAAACATAAATAATAAAGGTAAGGATAAAGTCCTCACGTAAGGAATATGAATACCGTCGCGTATGACGTAACGTCCTACGTCATAGCTTTATATACTTTATCTAATGTTCCAATTGGCAATGTGTATTAAATAAATTTTTTTTATTATTGCTTAATAATGTTAATTGTTCCCAAAACCCATTAAAATGGGTATAAGGGTATATTGTATTTGTGCAAAATCCAAATGTATGTAACAGGCAGAAGGAAGCATCTCCGACCCCATAAAGTGTGCATATTCTTGATCAGCATCAATAGCTGAGTCGATCTAGCCATGTCCGTCTAACTGTCCGTCCGTCCGTCCGTATGCATGAACGCAAGGATCTCAGAACCTATACGAGCTAGAGACTTGAAATTTTAGCCGTTGATGCTCCTAGCTCCCGCGCAGATTGAGTTTGTTTCCGATAATCGATTACTTGCTCCGTTTCCAAGCAATCGATAAAAATCGATATCGATATCTAATTTTTTTTTTGCAATTTTGGTAAATAATAAGAGCTAGAGTCACCAAACTTGACATATAGCTTCTAAAATAGAATATATATATGCATTTGATGTTGGAAGAAGAGGGTTCAGGGTATCCCCTAGTCGGGAGCTCCCGACTAGAACCTCCTACTTGTTTTAATATACATTCATAGTAGATATTTAATAACCCAAATAAGAAATAAGATTTAGAGATTAAATACAATTACATATAGTAATATCTGGGAATGTGGAAGTATAAAGTTAAAGTCTTCTGCAAACTACAAAATATTTTGCATGACAATTACTTAAATCCATTTTAACGTATTTTCGCACAATTTAACTCAATTATTTAAATGCATTCGAAGTTTTGGCATCGTTTTTGGGTCTTACATATATGCAGAGAGCGCAACGTATAAGCATGCAACATCAAACTCAGACATCGAACTCGAGCCGAATGCATGTAACAGTGCCATTCGGAGCTTAACATAGCCATTTTGAGTACAACAAACAACATTAACAGTTTATGTTAGCTCTAGTTTAAATTCCTCAAGTTGTTAGAGTTAATATTTCAACAATTTGCATTGCTTAGTGGACTTTAATTGGTATCAATTTCGCTTGGAAACATTTAAGAAATCAATTGTTTAGAATAGTAGGCGAAAATCTATCAATTTACAATAACAGCGGTACCTGCTGACGATCTTGTATGTTCGGTTCGCTGACTGGTTACGATGCGTTGGCGGTTCGACTTATGCAGCGCAACGTAAGCGTTTACGTGTCGAGTTACGTGTTAGTGTTAGTCCGCGGCAAACAGTCAAAGGCAACGGGTCAGATACGCGCGTGTCGGCAAACCGCAAACCAAAAAAAATAAATCGGCGAAAGATACAAAAACATTTCAGAGACCGAACACCGAGGAGCATTGATAAAAATATTGAATCAATTCAACTGCAGACCGAAACTTTGAGGCTGCGTGTGTATGTGGATTTCAAATTGAATTTTATTCAGTGAGGAGTATAACAAAAATTAACAAAAAAAAAAAAACAACAAAAATTGATTTACGAAAATATATTAAGACGAGCGGCATTATGAATGATTCAATTTCTTTCGCAAATTTGCGATCAATACCGATTTGTCAGTGCAAGTGAATAAATTCGGGAATTTCGTCACTTGGCGTAAAAAGCGATTATCGTGAAAGGACTTTCGATTTCGAACTGATTTTAATTGATTGATAAGCCAGGCGGCCGCACACAGATTCGAAAAAAAAAAAAACAAACTTTGCACAAACCACAACAACAGCAACAACAACAACTGCAATTGCCATAGGCAACATCATCTTCTCCGTCCAGCAAACAACTGACATCGTCTGTCTACGCCTGATACACAAATATATATATACTTATAATATACTTATATGCATGTGTGTGTGTGCGCATATGTAAAAAACGATCGGAATCGATTTTGAGTGTGTGCGTGTGAAATATACATACAATCATATGCACGCTGCGACGATCCTGCTATATAATCGACTACACGCATAGAGCATATATATGAGCATATATATGCATATTTATACATAGATATATATATATGTATATATATTATATATATCTAGGCAGAGTAGAAGATATATGCGTATGAGCTGAACGCGGCGCACTCTGCTCTGCTTTTTTCTTTTATAATTACTTTTGTCTAAAATTAGAAAACGTGTGTGTTGTCTTCGTCGGGTGTGTTGTACGTGCGTGTGTGTCTGTTTGACTCTGTGTCTGTGTGTCTGCTATATCAACAACATCATCATCATCGTCATCATCAGCGACAACAGAGACAGAGTGCGTGTATTAGTGCATGTATGTGTGTGCCAGAAAACACTCGACAGTGAATCAGGCAGCGACTACGGCTACGGCTACGGCTACGACTACGACTACGGCTACGTCTATATAGACAGATCGCGTATACGGCGAGACAAACATTAACATTATCGAAAATACAAAAAAGTGTATCTCACAGATACGCGCGCGCAGCGAGGATTACAATTACAACAGCAACAGCAACAACATCACAACAATAACAACAACAACAACACTGACACGAACGACGCGTCGCATCGCACGCACGAACACACGAAACAGCCAATCGGCTGCAGCCGACGGCAGCCGAAGAGCTAACGAGACGCGCACGAAACGCGCGCGCGTGAAAAACGTCGTGAAAAACGCGCAAAGCAACAACAAATGGCATAAAAAATCGCAACAAAAACATCACAAAAACTTAAAACCAAACGCCACGCGACGACCTTAAGTCTACGTCCATTCGAAGAGGGGGGGCGTGGCTATAGCTCAGTGCGTCGACTCCAAGGCGCTCAAGTGAAACGCGAATAAAATCAAATCAAATAATTCTAAGCAAAATAAATGCAACAACAGCAGCAGCAGCAACAGCAACAACAGCAGCAACAATAACAACAATAAACGAACGAACGAACGAAAAAGCAAAGCAGCAGCAGCAACAATAACAAATACAAGCAGCAATTTATTTATTTAAAGATATACATATACATTTTTTGCATTGCCAAAGCAGACGATCGGGCCAAAATGAGTCACCAGCAGCAACAGCAACAACAGCAGCAACAGCAACAAGAACAACAGCAACAGCAGCAGCAACAGCCAAAAAAGTTCTCAAAGTGCTCATAAATATTATGCTAGAAATTGTTAAACATTCACTGTCTCTAACACTCTCACTTAACGTGTCTCTCTCTCTCTGTGTCTCTCTCGTGTCGCGTCTCTCTATTGCTGTCTCTCAAAATGCTACGAAACTATCGAAAGTATTTGCAGGATAAACGAAAATACGACAAGGCACAGCGACGACGCAGCGGCGGCAACATTTGCCAGCAATAGACAGACAAACAGCAGCAACAACAAATCGCAACAGCAGCAGCAGCGACTAGCAAGCAGGGACAGCAGCAGCAGCAGCAACTAGCTAACGATAAGCGATAGACAGCAATCGATAGTTGATTTGTAAATAAAGCTAGGGCAACAGCAACAACAATTTTGGAGGACGCCATGTATGCGCAACATGTGCGCAAATGGAGTCTAAAAACGCAACTGCAACAAATGCCATTGATATCGCTAGCAATCTCCATGTTGCTATTGATCACATGTGCGCCGGCGACAACAGCAGCTGCAGCGTCAGCGGCTGCAGAACCAATCACACATCAGCTGCAAAGAACATGGAAATCAGAGGAAAGCAGCTACTATATTGCATTGCCACAGCAGCAGCAACAGCAGCAGCAGCTGCTGGTGGACAATGGCAGCGGGAGCAGTGAAAGCGTCGACAGCAACATCGACAACAGCAACAGCAACAATAATATTCAATTAAGTAGGCTGCCCAGCCGGCCCAGCAGTCTTAGTAGCTTTAAAAACATTAAGTTTAGGTCAGCAACAGTATTCGACGCAGGCAGCGATAGCGATGCGGCTGTACTGCGACAGCAACAGCAGCAGCAGCAACATATTGCTGCGGTGACAACGCAGCAGTCACAGCAACAAGTTCCAAATACGCTAATAAATAGTCAAATATATAAATTATTATACAATAATGGCATGCCCAGCGTCGCGGCGAGCAGCAGTAAAACGCGACGTCATGCACTGCAACAGCAACAACAGCTGCAGCAACAACAGCAGCAGCAGCATCTCAGCAATGCTGCGTGGCAGCCGCTGCAGCAGCGACTTATTGCTGCCTACAATTTTAGCAGCAAGGCAGGAGCAACACAACGCTATTTTATTGAGTCCTACGAAGTGCCAGAGAGCAGCCTGGAGCAGACGGCGCGGAATCGCCGCGACTTTGGCAGCTCCGGCAACAGCAATGGCCAGCGGCAACATCGCGCCGGTGGCGGCCACCGACAGCAGCAGCAGGAGGCAAAGCGCGAGCATCGCCGCCAGCGGCAGCAACAGCGCCAACAGCAGCAGCATCACCAGCAGCAACAGAAGCAGCATCAGCAGCATCAACACCAGCAGCATCGAAAGCATCCAAGAAAGCATCGGAACAGGCAGCGGGCCGGTCGTTACTGTTCAGCTCGGGATCCCGCTCAGCTGGCGTATGCGGCGCCCACCGTGTTTATGGGCGTCTTTAAGTCCATGTCGGCCGATCGGCGGACGAACTTCTCGGCGACCATGAAGGTGCTGCAGGTGTACAAACAGCAGCGGAATCTGCAGCTGCCGCAGCTGGTCCGGCTGCAGTTCGCGCTGCGCAACAACAGCGGCGAGTGCGACATCTACAGGGAGCGTCTGTTGCCGCGGGGTCTGGTGCGTGGCAACGATCTGGAGCAGGCCTCTGACATTACCTACATGATGTTTGTGGAGCAAACCAATTCCGGCAACTTCTCCATCCTAGGACAGCCCAAACGCGTCACGCCCGCCGTCCTCGAAGCAGTTAAAATGGCTGTGACCGAAACTTATGGTGAGTCCAATCAAACCCATTAAATATCATAATATAAGAGCTGAAAATTTTGTTGAAAATTGCCCATAAAACCCCAACAAAATAACTTTAGTATAAAGTTAAGATATAGTTTTCTAGAGCTTAAAGTCCCTCATCTTATTTGAAATCTTATTTAAATAGATTTTTGTAGTCATTTCCCAATGTCTTATCGATATGTTCTATCTCCCTCTAACTGAGTCTTATCGACGTCTTCCATCTCACTCTAACTGAGTGGCAGCCGCCTCTTTCTACCAATTTTTTTTGCGCATTTTTTTTTTGTTTTGTTTTCTTTACTCTTTAATGAAAATTTACCTTTTTTTATGCTGAATTTCTTATTTGCCAACTTCACGCTCTGCTAATATCCACCAGACCGAAATAATTTTATGCAACACACACACATACACAGACACACACACATAGTTGGAGCCGTCGCACATGCGCCGACGATTGCAATTTTCCAGCCAGGTTCGCATCCAGGCGGCATGTTGCTGCTGCTGCTGCTGCTGTTGCTTCTTCTTCTGTTTCCTCTACAATTTGGCGGCTGGGCAGCAACAAGAAAAGCTCAGCTCTAGAATTGATTGTTGTTGGTGCTGCTGTTGCTGCCGTTGCTGCTGTTGCTAGTTGCACATTTTAATTAAATTCGCATTAATTTTGTGCTGCTCCCCAAGTTGGAAAAACTTTGAAAACTCATTTCTTCTTCTGGCCTTCGTCTTGTCGTCTTGGCATCTGCAGTCGACCTTTGCGGTTGGCGTACCCAGCCCTAAGTTGTTGTTGTTATTGTTGTTGTAATTATTGTTGCGTTGCGGTTCATGACGTTTGCGTTTGCGTCTGTAACGCGACTAAGTGCGCCCAACAAGATCCCGACTTCAACAATATGTGAGTTTAAAGTTATATATACGTGTGTGTGTGTGTGCTTGTGTGTGTGTGTGTGTGTGGATACCCCGACACCGCCCTCGCTTGTCGCTTTTCATTTTTTTATTGTCTTTTGCTCGTCTTTGCTTTGTTTCAGCGCGGTCGCAATTAGATTTTTAATTCATTTTTTGCTGCTGCTGCTGCTGTTGCCTCTGTTGCTGCTGCGTCTTCTTTGGCTTCCGTCATGGCTGTCGCACACAGCCAGCCCGGTGCCCGCAGCGGGCGAGGGCGAGGGCGAGGCGGTGGCAACCCTTTTTGTTTGAAATCAGAAATCAGCTGCAATCAGCTGTTCTCTCTGCATAGCTCCCTAGGGGCCCCTCTCTCTCACGCTCTCTCTCTCTCCCTCTCTCTCTCTGTCTGTCTCTCTCTCTTTCTCTCTGGCCTGCGCTCCATTCTCAGCTTGTGTTTATTTACTTTTTGCTGCCCCCGCGTCTGTTCCTTTCAGCTTCATCAATGAATGGAACTGAAACTGGGCTGTGCAGCGTTTTGTGGCAGGGCGGCAGGGGCACACAGGATATTTACTTTTTCAGTTTGAGATTGATTTATTTTGCTTTGGGCTGCGGCTTTTGTTGGGCTCTTTGTTTGCAAACGCAGCGCAAAATTTGCATCTGCTTCCATATGCATATACATATATATAAATATATATATTTATTTTTTGACTGCTGATTGGCAAATGTCTAGCATTAAATGATGCTTAAATGCTGTCCATGCACCAGATGCATACTAATCCGCATAGAAATAACCACCCACGCCCGTACGCCCCGCCACAGCATTCACTTTTCGCCACCGAAATTTGCATATCAATGGCATAAATCAATCGCTGGCCGAAGATCGTCAGCCAAATAGCCATAAAATCGAGCCAATCAATGTCAGTCGCGATTCATCACCACACAAGAAATTATAAAGTAAAAAGAGAAAAAGCCCAATATGAAGAGCCATAAACAGTTTACAAGAAGCTCGACCAACTGTTGAAGCCAATACGCAGTTGCGAACCGGTTCAAGCCAAGTTAAGCATACGCACCGTGTGACGACCGCGACAACAGCCGGAACTGTGCCCTCTCCGCTCTGCTTAAAACTAATTAAAATGCTTTTTCTTGAACTTGAATGAATCGGTATTTTCATGAATTAACTGGTCCAATATTATTGTCCAATTTGCACCCACGCAACGGCTTCATTTCTCACACAATCGCAGCCAGAAATGTGACTTCAAATATAAAATTATAATAAAAAAGGCCATGTGAAAAATAAATAGAAACAACCAAAGAAAAAAAAATAAATGTTTTATTCTGTTGCTCGCTGGCTTCTATTGTTTTTTGGCATGGGCTATTATAGTTGAATTTTTTCTTTCTTTATCTTTGTTGTTGCTGCTGTTGCTGCTGTTGTTGCTGTTGCTGCTGTTGTTGCTGTTGCTGCTGTTGTTGCTGAGGTGTTAAGTAAATTAGCTGCTCATAAAATATCATTTGCTTTTGTGTGCTCGTCGTTACCAGCAGCAGCAGCAACAGCAACAGCATCGATTGTTGTTGTTGTTGTTGCTGCTGCTGCTGGTTGTTTGTTTTGGTTAAAAGCGGAGACAAACTGGCAGTGCTCGAAATGCCGCCAAGCGTAGACCAGAAGCAATCGAAACGGCAGCAACAGCAACAACAACAGCTGTCACGGCAGCAACACCTTCAATCAGTGCAGCCCACAATGGCCCCGTCTTCTATCTATTTACAATATTATATAATGCGAATGTGCCCAGTGCAACATTGAAAATCAATTTGCGGTTTTATGTTTTGTCACCGCGCCAAGCAGCTAGCTAGAATATCAATTTCGTTAGTATATGTTAGTTGACAATATTTATAGTTATATCGAATGCAAGCGCTCAAACCTTGACTGTGAGTTTCCATTTACGCCAGCCAAGTGGAAAACTCGGCTGCTTCATTTTCACTCTGCTCCGATAGCTGCTCCGGTTGCACTTGTCGCCGCAGAATGTTTAGCAAGCGATTGCACAAGCGGAAAACGATTTAACAGCAGCAGCAGCTATTTATTTAGGTCAACGCCTACGTTGCAGAGAGACAAACTTACTCGACGGCACCCACAATTCATCATTTGTGGCCTGGTGTCTGGCTACCTGGTCAGAAGATTTTTTGGCGCTGCTCATTTAGCGTCACGCCAGAGAAGATCCAACAGCAGCAACAGCAACAACAACAATAAGAACAACAGCAACAACGGACGACAACTGCGACGACTCTTCGTTTTTGGTAATTAAGTATGAATGCCGGCGCTAGACGCAGCAAACCAAATGAACAACTAGTCAACATTGGGTGGCAAGAGGAATGGACGAGGGTACCAGCTAAGGGGAGGAGGGGTCGCTCAAGGGGCCCCATTGGTAGCGTTACCTAGGGGCCGTTTGGCATGCGGGAAATAGAAAATTATAACGAAATGAAATGAAATTTTCAAATGGCATCGCATGTTGCTGCTGTTGCTGCTGCCACACGCCACCTGCCCCTCGACAAACCCAGCCAGCAGCCGCCAGCCGTTTATGACTTTTACGCTATTTCTGGCCCCTGCTGTCGGCAACAGCAACAGCAACAACAACAGCAACAACAGCAGCAGCTGAAAAGCATTTCGAGAATAGGAAGACGTCGATGTCGTCGCCTTCGTCATCAACCCGCCGCCTTGCCAAAAATATTATGCTTGTTAGCCCAGCCCCGCCCAGCTCTGTCCATCTCCTACTCTGTCCCCTTGACTTGGGCTCGTCTGTAATTTACATTTGGAAATCAGAGATCAGCAACATCTCGCGGCACATCCGCACAAAAACACCTAAGTTCGCCTCGAGTGGCGCTAATGGAGCCGCATTGCACTTGCAGTCCGCATCAATGGCAGCCACTGTGTTCTGGTCTCAAGTGCGCAACCCACTCGATCTTAATGGCCAGGCACTCAAACAACAACAACAACAACAACAAGCATAGTGAAGCATCCGTCTTGGGCTGCGGCAAGCGGATGTGACATAATCCGCCGGCAGCTATCCAATGCATCCAAAATGCATAAAACGCCTGCCATTCATAAGATCTTGTCGAGATTCAGATCTGTGTCGGCGATATCAAAGCCAAACGAGCGCCCCACAGGTGGCGCCTTCCCCCACCGAAGCTTTGGCAATATGAGTCGCACTTTGAATGTCCTATAAAGTCAAAGAAAAACTATTAAAGAAACGCACAAGCTAGAAATTGAACAAACGACACACATTTGACCTCAAAATATACACAGATGATTTCTTTAATCTAACAGGGTTATATTTTTTTATTTCCCAGTAAATCCCTTTTAAATTTATTTGGACTGGTTACAAGGCTCTTCAACTATGCAGCATGCTCAGTCTTGGCTTGAAGCTCTGAGCTTATGGGCAAAAGCCGCGCTCAATTAGCCAGTCAAAAAAGTTTTTGCGTTAATTTTCGCGGCACTTGCGGCACATTCCAAATAAATAGCCAGAGCAGCTAAGATAAATGATAAGATGCGTGTTGCTGCTGTTGTTGTTGTTGCTGTTTGTGGTGTCCACTAATTGTTTTGCCTTGCTGTTAATTTCTGCCCGCATAAACGCATTGCCCTCGGCCAACTGCTGCTCCACTAAAGCAACCCCTCCCCTTCCCCCCCCCCTCTCGCCCTGCCCCTAACCCGGCTGGCAAGGAAAACGCTTCAACAGTTGCGCACGCGGCCAAAGATTAATGAATATTCAAATTGTTCGATATTTGAGCTGAACGTTATATATAACATATTTGAGAAATCGTTTTCATTATTATTCGTTTCCCATGGCTTATTGTTTAATGGTCAAAACTAACCGTTTCTTCTTGGCCAACAATTTCGACTGAGAGACTGCAATTTGCGTTGGCGGCTTTGGCACTTTGAACTTGTCTGCTGGTGGGCGTGGCTAACTATTTTTATTTTTTGGCCACCATTTAGCGGAAATGCTTCGATGTGTGCTTGTGTGTGTGTCTGGCATGTAACTGAGGCCAACCGAGAGCCGTGTAGCAGCTGCAACAAGTCTCTGTTGCTGGCCATCTTAATTACGCATTAATTACATCAAACATTAATAATGC